CTAAACCCTAAACCCTAAAAGGTGTCTCTGGACCCTTCTGCCCACCTCGCAGCGGAGGATCCAAGGCCGGGCGTCGTCTCTTGGGGTCGCGAGCTTCAGGGCTTAAGGATTTAGGGGTTCAGGGTTTGGGTTTAGGGTTTAGGGTTCAGGGGGTTTAGGGTTTAGGAGTAAGGATTTAGGGGTTCAGGATTTTGGGTTTAGGGTTTAGGAGTAAGGATTTAGGGGTTCAGGGTTGGGGTTTAGGGTTTAGGGTTTAGGGTTTAGGAGTAAGGATTTAGGGGTTCAGGGTTTAGGGTTTAGGAGTGAGGATCTAGGATGTCGGGTTGGTGGTTTAGGCCGGTTTGGGTTTAGGTCCTTGGTGTTGACACTATCGGCGATTCCGGGCTCCATAGAAGCCGCTTGATCTTCAACGGCAACAGATGGCTCAGGGTTGAGGGTTTCCCAAGCCCGAATCCTTGAACCCTGAATCTTAACTTTAGTCAAAGCCCTTCGACCCCGGTAGGCGCTAGTTGCTTTACCAAGTCCCAACATCCCAACATTTCTTTCACAAACAAACGAAGTGGCACGCCAACATGACAGCAGTGAGGAGTTTGCAGAACTCAAGATGTAGTCGCGAAGCTTCGGAGTGAGATTCCATAGGATTATCAGTTATTGTTATTTACAGACCCTTTCCCAATGCTACACACTGTCAGGCCTCAAACCCTTAATCCTGAGTTCTATCGTTTAAGCTGGGGCTCCAGCCATAACACTGACGCCGTGACTTTGTTCACCCCTGGGCCTTGAATCCGTAAAACCCTCCCTCTTGAAAGCCTCACAATAACACCCTATACAGTAACACCTCTAAACGCCCTATGAAGCACAGGGTCTTTAAAACACCTAAAATCCTATGTTTTCAACACCTTTACACTACCGTAAAAACTCCACGGAAAAGCGCCAAGTCGAGTGGACGGAGACACCCCACCGGCACCGGCGGGGGTCCCAGTCGTGCTCGATCCTTTGTACCAAGTGGATTCGGCATGTGTATTATTACAAACAGATTATATAACGCCCTAGTCAACATGCAGATTCAGCTGCTCAATTCTTGAGTGGAAGTTTTGTAGCCCGATGCCACGCAATGTAGTGTAGCATAGTGCTGTGCAGCAGAAGAGAAGCCGCCGATTCAAGAGCACGAGTATGACGTGCGCGCATTCTTGCAAGGGTCAGAAGGCATTCTGGACCATAAACCTTCAACCAATATTTGAGCTTGAGCTTCGTCGCGAAAACAGTGTGGCGAGCATGTTTATCTCGCACTTCCATTCGCCTTTAGAGCTGCGCTTTGGGTTTAGAGCTTCGTGTTCATGTTGGCAGCTTTCAAAATTAGGGTCCCTATTGGTGGTCCTTTTTATAAGGGTGCCGTACTATATTGAGGATCTAAAAAGGCACCCTAATTTAGAGAAGTAGCCATATCAATTTGGGTATGTGGGGCTACGGCCTGGGGTCTGAAGCTGCAGGTAAGCAACAAAGTTTTGTCGGTATGCATGTTTAGGGTCATGTGCTTTTCTCGCCTTACTGTTCATCACCTCTTTTCTTATGAGTAGAATGTTTCGAGTCTACAAGAATGCGACGCGAACACCTCGACAGAATACGATTCCCACACAGCCCAGCTAATCGCCCAATGACTTTCACATGCATCGTTCCATTTTCACATAGTCGTACTTGCACACCAGCACGCAACAGCCATATCTCAGGTGTGTATGTATATATATATATATACATATGTGTATCTACATATACATATATACATATACATATGCGTGTATATATATATATATATATATGTGTGTGTGTGGGTGTGTCTTTACGCATACATGCATGCATGGATGTATGGGTGCATGCAGCGCATGCATGTATATATATATATATATATCTCTCTCTCTATATATATATATATACACATACATGTGTATATATATATATATATTATGTGTTCGTATATACGATATGTATTCATATGCATGTATGTATGTATGTATGTATGTATGTATGTATTTATGTATGTATGTATGTATGTATGCATGTATGTATGTATTCATATAAGTACGTATGTGCTTGTGCATGTAAGTAGGTGGGTGGGTGGGTGGGTGGGTGGGTGGGTGGGTGGGTGGGTGGGTGCATGCGTGACATACATAGACAGCCGATGTTTCAATTGCGACTGCAATCTGATCTCTGCACAGACGTCAAGTCACCTTTGCCCAAGCTGCAGGCGCAGAGCCACCACTGGACGAAGAGAAGAACGCTAGAGACAGGTCTGGCTCCTTCCTCTATCATTCCTTGAAGTCCGGAGCTTTCCTTGCAGCTAGCTGTCAGCTGCAGCATGGACAGCAAGAACCCTGAAAGGCCCAGAATCCTAGAAGTCCAAGGAGGCACAGCCCTTTTGTCAAGAACACCAAGAGCCCTAAGATTCGAACTCTTTCCCATCGTCGTCGTCGAAGACCGCAGCGCGCGTGTGGCGGCGTCAAAAGAGAAGACAGCTTTGCTGACTTTGGGGTCTACGGACGAACAGAGTGCAGGGCAGGGGCATGCCTCGAATTTATGTATCGAGTTCTGGAGAGTTTAGCACAATGAATGTCAAGGTTTGGACTTCTGGTAGTGAGTGATTGCAACTTGATTACAGCGTTTCCAGTACTCACTGCGCCCTGACCTTCGAACCGAGTCGATGGGCGACTCCTTGAGTAGCAGCTTTGCCCCATGACGCATTATGCTGCAACAGTTGTGAAGCAACTGCTGTTGTGCAATGGCTTTTTTTTAATGTTGTGTTGTGCTGGAATTGTAGGGATGGTGCGAACCTGTATAGACCACCTGAGATGCAAGCTGGTTGCGCTGAGTGTTGGATTTTAGGGCTTACTGTAGGGGCCTTAATTACCTATACTATTCTTAGGGGTTCCTGATGATAACTATAGTATAATAAAAAAACCCCGAAACCCTATTCGGCAGGCCCCTACAGTCGTGCTTAGGGGTTGGTTGAGACTTGTTCTTCGAGCTTGCCCCCGATGCCGCCTTCACCTCTTCTGCTGAGTTTAGAAACCGAGGCTCGGTTGAGGATTTAGGGGTGAAGGTGTTTAGGGGTTCTAGAATTCTAGGGGTTTAGGGTTCAGGATTTAGGGGTTCAGGGGTTTGAGGGTTTCGATGCACACTTTCAACCCTAAACCCTAAACCCTAAACTTTCCCGGCATTGTCGGATCAAATCTGGGGCTCCCGGGTGGGTCCTAGCAGATCTTTACGCAGCGCTCTCTGCGGAGAAGAGGACAGTCGGAGGTTCCTCGGCAGCCTTTGCTATAGGATGTATAGTACAATGTACTGACAATACAATCTATATACATATATATATATATGTATGTATATGATATCTTACAACATGCTATATTTTGATATGGTGCTATATCAAAATATGTTGTGTCACACTGTATTGTATTGTGCTGGACTGCATGGTGTTGTAGTGGATTGCGTTGTATTGTACTTGATTTTTTAATAAAAAAACTGTTATTGTGGTATATCATGTTATACCGTTTCCACTTACATCAACATCATAACTTGTTATTTTCTGTTGTATTGTATTATATGATATTTTCAACTGCTCTATATATACAGTGTTATACTACCATGTTTGTCATATCAGACCATACTGTGTTCTATTGCAGCATAATATACTACCTTATCAAATATTGCATTATTTCATCCGGTCTTATGTCATAGTTTATTTCTTATGCTACGCCATATTGTGCTATAGATCATATAAAGGGTTGATCCTCAGCGGAGGGCGGTTCAACCAATGCGGGGGTACGAAGGGATCCTCAGGGCCTTAAGGGGACTTTTAAGGATCCCATAGCAAACCGTTGAAGCTTAGGGTTTAGGGTTTAGGGTTGAGGAAGTAGTATAGGGGCCTTAATAGTTACCTATACTCTTTTGGGGGTTCCTTAGTGCAACCATAGCATAATGCTCCCCAAAACCCTATTCTAAGTGTTAAGGGCCCTATATTACAGCCGTAAAGCCTAAACCCTTAACCATGAACCCCTACACCTAGCTCTGGAATAGGTTTAGGGATCAAGGTTTAGTCGATAGTAATTACAGGGTTTGCACGGGTGTCATCGAGTTGTTTGGGCCAGTACAGGGGTTACGTTCAGGCTTCAATAGGACTTGCCCGCAAGTCCACTGCTGCTTAATGTCCCAGTTCGGCAAGATGGATACTTGGCTACCTTGGTCCTTCGAGGCCCTCATCAGAAAAACTGAGAGCTGTTGCTAGTCGCGGACTAGTTTGCTACGAGTGAGATCTGTGTAGCATGATCTCGAATCTACGGCTTCATGCGGCCTATGCAAGCATACTTTGTGGTCATGCCTTCCCAGCGCCATGCCCAGGATATAACCACCGCTCATGAGCTTCAGCCAAGCACGCCGAGACGCCCCGGCGGCAACAGCCGATGCAGAGGCCGTTCAATACATAGACATAAACCAATAATACATAACATAGCGTAATGTTTAAGTATTATACTAAACCACGGTATATTCCTACACTATGCTTTCGGTTTGGGGCCTGGTTTAAGGCCAAATGCAGCGACATGTTCTCAGCTATCCCACTCTTGGATGTGTGACTGACACAACAAGCCTACGACCTGAAGAGAGCTGTTGGAGAACTGCACCCAGGACCACCCCACCTTTCTAAAGTCCTCCTGCATGTCCCTAAACCCTACAGCGCAAGAACTCAAAGAACTCCCTACTTAAAGCCTAAGCCCTAAACCCAAACCCTAAACCCAAAACCCTAAACCCTAAAACGCGAAACCTCAAAACCCCTAAACCCAAAACCTTAAACCTGACACTCTCCACATGATTACTCTCTCGGACCCCCAAGCCCCAAAAGCCGCACACCCCGAAACCTCAAAAGCCCGAACAGCCTTTTATGGTTTAGGGTTTAGGGTTTAGAGTGCCCATACCCGTAGCCTTACATCCCCTAAACCCTCAAACCCGAACCCCAAAACCCCAGAACCCTACTAACCCCAAAACCCTAAGCCCCAAAACCCGAACCCCTAAACCCTCAAACCCTCAAACCCTAAACCCTCAAACCCTAAAGCCCTAAATCCTCAAACCCTAAACCCTCAAACCCTAAAGCCCTAAACCCCCAAACCCGAAGCCCTAAACCCCAAAACCCTAAACCCCAAAACCCTCAAACCCTCAAACCCTAAACCCTCAAACCCTAAGCCCTTAATCCTCCAACCCTGACCCCAAAACCCCAGAACCCTACTAACCCCAAAGCCCTAAACCCCAAAACCCTAAACCCCAAGACGCTCAAACCCTAAACCCTCAAACCCTAAAGCCCTAAATCCTCAAACCCTAATCCCCCACAAAAAATCCCCAGTACCACAAAAAGATCCCTGAGCAGGCACGAAGGCAGAAGCGAGCTCCGAAGTCGGCTACCAAGGGTTTGGGGTTTTAGGGTTTCAGGGTTTAGGGCTTTAGGGTTTTAGGGGTGTCAGGGGTTTGGGGGTTTAGGGCTTAGGGCTTCAGGGTTTTAGGGTTTAGGAGTGGACCAAAAATTGGGGCTTTAGGGGCTTTAGGGCTTTATGCAAGATATCATCGGACGTTTAGGGGTTTAGGGGTTTAGGATTGTTAGGGATTTTAGGGTTTAGGGCTTAGGGCTTTAGGGTTTTAGCGTTTAGGAGTGGAGGGTTCAGGGCTTTAGAGCTGTGGGTCTAGGGCTGTTGGAGTCTAGGATTAAGGTTTTCTTCAGAGACGCGGTTTCTGTGTGCTTCTCGATACATGGTGCACAGTAAGTTCGAGATCGATGAAGATTCAGGGGTTAGGTATCCGGGGTTCTCAGGCACAAGTTCACGGAGTAAGGTTTACCCATAGGCTCCATAGTAGTTCCTTTTTGGGATTACCTAGTAGGATCCTAACTATAAGCCGCAAAAAGGAACTACTATGGGGCCTATGGGTAGTGCTTCAGCCTGAAGGGCTTCAGAGTTTCAGGTTTCAGCTGCTAGTAACGCACTGAAACAAAACCGATGACACATGGCACCAAGGCCCGGGCAGTTCCAGGCACATCAGGCCACCCGGGCGGACTTCGCCCGGAAACTCAGTGTTGCCCAAGCTTGATATTAGGGTTTAGGGTTTACGGGTTTAGGGTTAAGGGTTTAGGGTTTAGGGTTTAGGGGTTTAGGCTTAAGGGTTTAGGGTTTAGGGTTTAGGGGTTTAGGGTTCAGTACATAAGACCTACAGACGTGCGTGCATAGATGCATACATACGCAATGCATGGTGTGGGAAGGTTGAAAGCAGAGCGTTCCACAAAGCTCTTGGTGACAATAGCAAGGGTCACTTCCTCGTGACTATGCAAGCAGCAAGCGGAAAAGCAGAGGCAAGGAGCTGCGCTGCAGTGAGCTCGAAGTCTGAGCCGCTGTTTCGACTACACAGCACGGCCAAGTCCTCCACCACCTGAATGCCGTCGGATCTTTTGCTGGGAACTCGCTAAGCGCGTCTTGAGCAGCCAAGCTGCATTTTGAATCCATTCTGACACTCAGCATGACAAGATAAGACATGACATTACATGAAATTGTATTAATCTTACAAATGCAGACAGACAGACAGACAGACAGACAGACAGACAGACAGACAGACAGACAGACAGTGACAGACAGAGACAGACAAACACATACAGACACAGACAGACACAGACAGACAGACAGACAGTGACAGACAGACAGACAGACAGACAGCAGACAGACAGCAGACAGACAGACAGCCAGCCAGCCAGCCAGCCAGCCAGCCAGCCAGCCAGCCAGCCAAACAGACAGACAAGAAACACCAAATAGACCGACAACCACAGAAATAGATGAGTTGGAGATTCCGTAAGCTACCAAAGTAGATACAGAAGATCTCCAGGGTACCAAAATACCCTCCACCCTCAACCCTAAACGCTAAACCTAAAACCCTTCAGCACACCCCCTAAACCCTGAACCCTATAGCCTAAACCCCTAAACCCTAAACCCTAAACCCTAAACCCTAAACCCTAAACCCCTAAACCCTAAACCCCTAAACCCTAAACCCCTAAACCCTAAAAGATCACATCAGTGGGTTCGGAGCGAAGTTCAGGGGCTTGTAAAGGGTTATAAGGTTTAATTAAGGGGTTTAGGGTTTAGGGCTTATAGGGTTTAGGGTTTAGGGCTTTAAGGGTTTAGGGTTAATAGGGTTTAAGGTTTAATCAAGGGGTTCCGGATTTTAATTTTCAGGGTTTATGTAGGGTTTAGGGTTTTAACTTTTAGGGTTTATGTCGGGTTTAGGGCTTTAAGGGTTTAGGGCTTAAAGGGTTTAGGGCTTTGAGGGTTTAGGGCTTAAAGGGTTTAGGGCTTTAGGGTTCTGGGTTTAAGGTTTTGCGGTGTAGGATTAGGCTCAAGGGTGCCTTGGGGGGCGTCCTGCTTAGCCCTAGGCACATGACCCACGACTCCCAAAGCCAGAAAGAGAGAAGTTAACGTAGGGTTTTGGGATCAGGACTTCGGGCTGGAACCCTAAACCCTTTAGGGTTCGGGTTTAGGGTTTAGGGTTTAGGGTTTAGGGTTTAGGGTTTAGGGTCTCAGACCTAAACCCTGCACCCAAAGCCCTAAAAACCCTAAACCCTAAATCGTTTGAGCTCCCTAAACCCTAAACCCTAAACCCTAAAGCCCTAACCCCTAAACCCTAAACCCTAAACTCAACATCGCCCAAAAGCCGAGGCACTAAAACCGTCATGCCCAGGTCTCGGCAGTGCCTCGGTGTTGGGTTAGGGTTTAGGGTTCAGGGTTCAGGGTTCAGGGTTCAGGGTTCAGGGTTTAAGCTTTAGGG